ATGGGCCTGGAGTCTGGGGAGGGTGTGTGCATGTGTGTGTGTGCACGTGTGCGTGTGTGCAGGCGGGGTCCTGGGTTTCAACTGCATCCGGCTTTAAGGGCCCAGGGGAGTCATGGCAGGTTTAACAGGGTTGGAGGGAGGAACAGCGTGATCAGATTTGTGTTTTTTAAAATATCACTCAGGCTTCTGGGAGGAGAACATTGCAGGAGGCAGGAGCGGAGGCTGGGAGACCTGGTAGAGGTGAGGGCCCTGGCCAGGGGGAAGGCAAAGAAGAGGGGACAGTCTCGAGGTGAGAGGGAGAGTCAGGGATGGTGCTGGGTGCCCGGAGGGTGCAGGGCCCTCTGCCATCACTGCTGACCCGGGCAGCAGCTCTGTCCTTCTCTGTCACGGCTTCATGGCCAGCGTCAATGGCAGGTGCTCTGCAAACGTCAATAGCAGGTGCTCTGCAAACGCTTGTTGAGTGGATGATGGATGGGGGCTGCAGTAAGAACAGGAGCACTGAGGGAAGCTGGGGAGTCCATTTCAGACCTAGGAGGACGAGGGCAGGAGGGGGACAGGTGGCTTCCTGAGCATGTGGACTGTGCAGTCACACTGGGCCCTGCTCTCAGAAGGGCTCCTCATGTGGTTCAATGCTCTGCTGTCGCCATGTTGAAATTCTTAACTTTTGAACAAGAGGCCTCAGGTTTTCACTTTGCACTGGGTCCCACAAATTCTGTAGCTGTTCTTGCCCTGAAGACCAGTGGAAACCAGGGAGTAGGTCAAGGGCAAGGACACGAGGGAGACCAATGCCTTCTGCTGGCCTGTGCCCTTGAGGACGGACACAGCACACCCTGGGGTCTGGAGACAAGGTCACTGGGGCAGGTGGCATCAGGTCTGTGAACTTGGGGCAGGATCAGGCGTGTTTGCACTTAATCACAGAATCCCACACTCCACACAGATCTGGTGCCGAGCACTTGTGTGCAGGCACAGTGCTGGGGGCCTTGCTGACACCTTTTGGTGGCATCTGCACATCAGAGCCTGTGTTGTCCCACCGTGCAAACAAGGAGAAGGCTCAGTCCCAGCTCCCCCCCTTGACCCCAGAGCAAAGAACTGAGGGTCTGCCTTGGAGCCCCAGGGCACTCTGGAACAAATGGGAAATCTCGGAGGAGGCAGTAACCGTGGGGAATCCGTTCCTTGCAGAGCATGACCATCTGAAACTGTAAATGGGGTCAGAAAGGCTTCAGGTAAAATCAGGGCTGGCAAATCCATTAGTGTTAGAGACTCACCTCTGACTGCTGACACCTCCCTCCAATGGTGTCTGGAAGTTTCCACATGTTGCTATTTCCTGTCTACCAGGTATTATATACAGGTGGGCCCCGAACGATGGTTGGACTTAACGATTTTTTGATTTTGTGATGGTGCAAAAGCCATACGCACTCAGTAGAAACCGTACTTGGAATTTTGAATGGAGCTCTTTCCCTGGGCTAGCGAGAGGCGGTCCAGTCCTCTCTCATGACGCTGGGCAGTGAGCTGCAGCTCCGGTCAGCCCCACGATCACGAGGGTGAACAAGGATACGCGTACACCCATTCTGTACCCACACAGCCATTCTGTTCCTCACCTGCAGTACAGTACTCAATACATTACACGAGACAGCCAACACTGTGTTATGAAACAGGCTCTGTGGAGATGACTTTGCCCAACTGTAGGCTTGCGTAAGTGTCCTGAGCACGTTTAAGGTAGGCGAGGCTAACTGTGATGTTCTGTAAGGGAGGTCTATTGAATGCATTTTTGACTTAACGTTATTTTCAGCTTACGATGGGTTTCTCGGGACGTAACCCCATCGTAAGTGGAGGAAGAGCTGTATCGACACATTTAATCATCACAAAAGCCTTGCAAGGTGGGTAGGATTAGCCACAGGTAACTGAGGAGAAAATGGAGGCTCGGAGATTTGTGACTTAGTTGGAGCTAGTGGCCTCCAGAAGCTGTGCCCTCAGCCACTCTTCCTCCCATCTCCTCTCCGGGGAGGCTGGGACCACGGGGACCAGAGCCAGCCCATGCTGGCCTGTGATGGTTTGAAAACAGACGCCCTTGGCCCTGGTTCTGAGTAATACCCCACATGAGACACGGCTGTCTGCCAGCTCATGAGGACTGTCACCTGTCTGTGACTGAGTCAGGGCTCGGGCGTTTGGAGGCTGGGAGAGGAAAGGAAATGAAGCTGAGGGTCAGAGGCTGAGAGAGAGGCCATTCTGGTGCCAAGCCCCACTCCCCACACAAGCCAGCTCTTAGGAAGTGAGAGGGAGCCGAGGAACAGCAAAGTTCCTCTTGCAAGCTTGCTTTCTGCCTTTTAAAAAAAAACTTTTGCAAGCAAGTGTAACCACCATGAGAGGACAGAGTGGGTGCCTTCCGAAACAGGTGGCTGGGCGCGGGAGGGGCCAAGGCCCAGGCTTCCAAGAAATTCAGGACAGGGACCCTGACCCCCTTCTCCGGTCCATGGCACCCCCTGTGCAGGGAACTGACCCAGTGGGCTCAGACTGTTACCACCCCGCCCACTGCTGCCGTGGCCAGGTGGGTCTGGAAGAGCCCTAAGGTCTGGGGACTGCTGGGGACTTCAGAAATGGCAGGTCGTTGGATCTGCTGCCCCGGTTCCCTCAGAGTCAGAGGAGCTCAGGGCCCCGGGCAGGAGACAGCCTATTAGGCAGGTGTTGCCCTAATTTGTGACCTTTTCAATGAAATAAACAGAAAACAGAAATGAAATAAACAGAAAAATTAGCAAAATCATCTTCCTAATCATTCCTCCTGTAGTGGCCCCAATTTTGCTGACTGCTAACATTAAATGATGCATTTTGGTAGAGGAATGCATTTTTGTATTGTGAGAAGATATACACTAAATTTACCATTTCAACCATTTTTAAGCTCCGTGGCATTAAGTCCATTCACATTGTTGTGCATCTGTCTCCAGAACTTTTTCATCTTCCCCATCTGAAACTCTGCCCCCGTTGAACACCCATTCCCCATCCCCCTCCCCCAGCCCCTGGACCCCACCATCCTACTTTCTGTCTCTATGAACTTGACGACTCTAAGGACCTCCTGTAAGTGGAATCATCCAGTATTTATCCTTTTGTGACTGGTGTATTTTACTTAGCATAGTGTTCTCAAGGTTCATCCATGTTGTAGCATGTGTCAGAATTTCCTTCCCTTTTAAGGCTGAGTAATATTCCATTGTGTGGATAGACCACATTTCGTTTATCCATTCGCCTGTCGATGGACACGTGGGTTGTTTCCGCCTTTTGGCTGTTGTGAATAAGGCTGCTGTGAACAGCATTGCACTTTGTAGAGCAGTATATCCTGGGGAGCCCCGCTGGTATACACCTGCAGGTGTGCAGAATTCTGGGTGCAAAGTGTCCTGAGCTTCGGTGTTCAGGTGTTCAGGTGGACAAAACACTGGAAGAAGTCAGGCCGCCTGGGGCCCCGGCCCCAGGGCTTAGCCGAGTCACCTTGGGAAAAGCACTCCCCCACCAGCTTCACTTGCTTTATCTGTCCAGGGGGGTGGACATGATTATTGATGAGTCTCTAAGGGCTCCCCAGATGCTGCTGTGCTCCCAGCCACATGGGACACTGTGTTCTCAGAGCAACCTGGGGCGGGCTGGTGTCCTCTTCTGTCTGAGAGTTATTATTCTTACAGCAACAACAGTGACGGCAGTGGAGCTGGCAGCTACGTTACTGGCATCTGCTTTGTGCCCTGCCGTGGGCTGCCACATTCCTGCCTGCGTCCTCCTGTGACCCCCAGAGGGGTGTGTATGATGAGTCTGGGGTCCAGGGAGGGCTGGGACCTTGTCCAGGGTCTCATGCCAGTGAGGGGGCAGCTGAGACTTGTAGCACGGCCTGTGGCATCCCCGAGTCTGAGCTCAGGACAGCCCAGCCGCGTGCTCCCGCTCCCGGGGGGCTGAGCCCGCTGGGCCTCCAGCAGGTGAAAGCGAAGCGCAGGTTCTCGGGACAGCCCTGCAGCAAAGCCCGGAGGCCTCGCACAGCTGGACCTGAGGCTGGGGCTAAGTGCCGGGTTTTGAAATAGGGCTGGTTAGGTTTCTCGGTTCCACTGCTCCAAAGACGGGTCAACCAGGCGGGAGCAATTCCGGCTGCCCCATGCTTCCTCTTCTAGGTGGGCATGAGCAGAAAGAATGAGGAGGGTAGGCAGAGGGGAGGAAAGGGCATCTCGGCCCCTGGAAGCCTCTGTTGGTGCTGGGCCAGGTGGAGGGCCAGGGAGTCCAGACCCCCGTGTGGTGGAGGAGACGTGGAGGCGAGGGACCAGACCCTGAGCAGAGGGCTCTGGCTCCTATGCCCCTCGCCCCCGTGCTGGGAGGCAGAGGCAGAAGCACTGCCTTTCATGGGCAAGGACACTGAAGCTCAGAGAGGGCAGGCATTTGCCCCAGGCCACATGCTGGTCAACGGAGGGGCTGGGAATCATTCCCAGATGTGCTGACCCCATGGCCACTGGGCTCTGAAGCCTCCTGTCAGCCCCTAAAGCTAGAGAAAGAAACTCATTGCTACCTGGAGGGTGCATGTGGGCCAGAGAGGCTGGGCCGACCTGCATTCCCATCCAGGCCCACCCTGATGAGCTGTGAGGCCTGGGAGAGTCCCCCCACCTCAGCCCCAAGGTCAGAGGGCTGCACGTGGCTGTCCTGCCAGCCGCTGGGACACGCGGTGGGGGGCACAGCGCATGTCAGGGCTCCCCATTACTGCTAACCACCGCCTGGCCCCTCCATGTGACACATCCTCTCATGGGCACCCAGCTGGGGTCCAGCCCTGTCTACCATGGTTTCAGGAGGAGACTGGTTTGAGATGCTGCGAGAACAGGATGTGGCTTTTGAGGGGGACTATGTCTGGGGGAGCCCCGGTTCACCCAACATGATATTGGACGTCTGTTTTCTGTCTCACCCGCCCGGGAGGTAAGCCCCAGGGACAAAGGGGATGCAGAGAAGCCTGAGTGGTGGCTGACTGAGTAAACTGGCCTTCCTGTCCTCAGGTCCAGCTGGGAGCTCCCGGACCTTCTGGAGGGCAAGATCGAGGCCATCAGTGACTCGGACGGGGTGAACTACCCCTGGTACGGCAACACCACGGAGACGTGCACCATCGTGGGCCCCACCAAGAGAGACTCCAAGTTCATCATCAGCATGAATGACAACTTTTACCCCAGCGTCACGTGGGCCGTGCCGGTCAGCGAGAGCAACGTGGCCAGACTGACCAACATCTACCGGGACCAGAGCTTCACCACGTGGCTGGTGGCCACCAACACCTCGACCAATGACATGATCATCCTGCAGACGCTGCACTGGCGCATGCAGCTCAGCATCGAGGTGAACCCCAACCGGCCCCTGGGCCAGCGCGCCCGGCTGCGCGAGCCCATCGCCCAGGACCAGCCCAAAATCCTGAGCAAGAACGAGCCCATCCCGCCCAGCGCCCTGGTCAAGCCCAACGCCAACGATGCTCAGGTCCTCATGTGGCGGCCCAAGCACGGGCAGCCGCTGGTGGTCATCCCGCCGAAGCACCGGTAACAGCCGGGCCGCCCCGCTAGGTTAGACTCAAATAATAATTCTGCTCACACAAAACCCGCACGGACTCGGTCATTCAGCAAAATACAACCATTCTACCTTCTCCGGCGGGCGGATCTCACTGTGCGAACCCCCCGGATGGCCTCCCCACCCTGCGGAACCTGCTGCTTTGTGGGGAGGGGGAGACCCAGCCGGGACAGACCGACCCCGCGTGCGTCCTTCACTGTCACCTTGGGTCTCCTGTTCTCTCCTTTTCTCACAATTTCAGCCATTCTCTTGCAACAGACTCCCTGAAACAACTGCTTTTTCAGTTCTTTTTTTTTTTCAACGCCTCCCCAGGAGGTTCAGGGGCGGGAGGAGGAGGAGCTGATTACAGGCTGGTCGGCGCCGTTGCTGGCTTGTGACAGTGGCCGGCTCTCCCGTGGCAGCTCCCCCTTGCCCTCTGTCGTGCGGCCTTATGTAGACTTGCTTTGCCAAACTTTTGCCTTAAGCTGAATTTAAAGGGAAAAAACCACAGCAGACAAAGAAAGCAAGATCTCTTTTCTACTGGACTTTTCATCTTCTGCTAGAGGTGAGGGAGGAGGTGGGGTTGGGTGAGAGGGAGATGCACCAGAGGGGCAGGGGAACGGATGTAGACCTAAAACCAGCTGCTTACACCTTTGTTTCAGCAGAAACGAAACCATGGACTCTGCCTAGAGAGCCCCTTCTCTTGGCCCCAGGCAGAATCCCCCCCACCCCGACCCTGTACCTGGAGAGAAGGGCTGTGAGCTCTGCCCGGCTGCTCCTCTCCTCTCGGCAGCCTTAACTTGCCTTGGGTGGGCCCAGGAGGAGATACGGAGGGTGCTGTGAGTTGTAGGTTGAGCCCAGGGAAATTTCTCCGTCTCAGTCCTCAGCACCGGTCGATGCACAGGTGGGTCTGCCGTCACATCTCTGTGTGGCTTTTCCTTTTCCGTCCACGCTGGGCCCAAACGTCTGGAGGGCTGGCCACTTTGACCCAGTTTTAGTTCAAAGGTAAGAAAGGCATGCACTTCCCTCCTGGCTCCTTCTCAGGGACGCCCCTTCCAGGTGCTCTGGGGAGGCTGCAGATGGGCTCTGAGCACCACAGGGCTGGAGGTGGGGGGGCAAGGGAGGGGGCCCCCCAAGGACAGGTGTTCTTGGATCTGGGAAGGGAGGTGAGGCAGTCAGCAGACCTCCCCCTGCTGCTTATCCTCAAGGAAGTAAGCCAGGGCCCAGGGCTGGGGGATTAAGTGGGCCCGTGGATGACAGGCATTGGAGCCACTCTGGAGGCTGGCCTGGACAGCACGGCTGGTCCTTGAGGGCCACCCTCCCTCGTGTCCTGGGCCCTCTGGAGCTCTAGACTTGGTCCTGAGTGACGCCAAGCTTTCTTAGCACTGTCTGTCCTGAAGTCTGCTCACAGGAGCTTTGGGGACCACCCCCTGAAGCCCCCTTCCTCCAAGCTTGCCAAAGCCACAGCTCCATCACCCAGCCCCGCATTCAAAGTAACAATAATCAAGCACAGAAAACTGTCAGGAAAGAAAAATAATCCATTTCTGCTGCAGATGAGCCACTGATCGGAGTCCCAGTGACGACGTGGGAGGGCACGGGTCCCCTAATCCTTGCTCTGGTCCTTTATCCACGTGATACTGTATTTATTCAGGGGTGCTTAACGTCCAGTGCAGCTCCCGAGCCCGGCTCCTGACGGGTGGCGAGCAGCCGTCCTGGAACAACTGGACTGGAAGCAGCTTTGTGTCGCCGGCCGCCGGCGTGGTGCTTCGGGAACCCCGCTGCCAGGCCCAGGAAGCCCCTGGGAACTGCCGGTTCCCTGTGGTGTGTGCAGAGGCCCTGCCACCCAGGGAGGCCGGAGCCTCAAGTGAGGGGAATGGTGGGTCCCTGCTCCACCTCTGGGGGCCGGTGGGAGGGAACGGGGCGGCAGCATCCGGCTGCTGTGGCCGGGACCTGGCCTCCTATGGAGCGGCCCTTCTTTACACTCAGGTCTTTCTTGCACTAAAAGGAGAAAGGGCTCTGGACGAGGTGTCAGGAAGCAGGAGTTCCGGTTTCCGGCTGGGTCATCGCTAAGGGGTTCTTACTGGGGTAGGGGTTGGGAACGGGAAAGAACAGGAAGGGGTGATCCTGAGCTGTTTTGGGGCAGAGTCCCCCAAACCCACACTTCCTGAGTGTGAGCAAGCCCTCTGGCAGGGGTGCAGTGCTGTGCCACCTGGAGGGGAGCAATGCTGCTCTGGCTGCCTCTGCCTGGCCTACTGCATGCCTGGGCCCCCAGCTCCCCGTGCTCCCCAGCTCCCCCCACCCCGTGCCCCTTTCTCTCTGCCCCTCCCAGCCTTTCTGAAGACAGAGCTGGGAAGACCCTGCAGAGGCTGCAGGCCCGGCCAAGGATGCTTGGCTTAGCTTGAGTCTGGTCCCTTGGCCTCCTCCCTCCTGTCAGGAGCACAGACCCCAGGCATGTCACCTGGGACCCCGATCCCTCCGGTGTCCCCCTCACCCGGCGTGACACACTCCTCCAGCAATAAGGACCTTCGTGGTCGTGGAGAGTACTGTGAAAACAAACCAATGCACTTACCAGGAGGCACAAGACTCAAAGAAAATGTAAAATGAACCTTTTTTTAAAAAAAAAAACAAACGAATATTCACAAAGAGAAATAAAATGTAATTTTAAAGTAGGCCTGGCTAGGATCTGGATGTTTCTGAAGTGGCGGTTCATCTTGGGGTTGAGAGCTCTGTATTTGTGGCTGCAGGAGTGAACGTATTTGAGGGGGTGGGTATACGGCTGGAGCCTGGGTGTTCTGGGGCGAAGGGCCCAGGAAGAACCCGGGAGGAGGCTGGCCACTTGGACGATGCATCTTCTGCTGTCTACAGCCCTGGACCTTAGTCCCCACCCAAAGGGCTCCTGCTTGGTGCCCTGTGTGGAGGACGAGCTAGGCCTTGGGGGCAGCTTGGCTTTCTGGCAAACAGTGGAAACCCATATGACAAAGAGGGGGGTTGTGTTTAGATCGAGCCCTTACCCATGGACCTGGAAACCTGTCTTCACATGGAGACACAGTTGCCAGGACTATTGTCAATCTAGAACATGGCCCCGTGCCCTGCCCGGGGTCAGTGCTGAGGAAAGGGGGCTGCAGTGGTCAGAGCACTGAGAGTAAATACTTTCTTCTAATCAGAGCTTTGTCACGAGAGGAGGTGGGGGAGCCCCGAGGTCCTGCAGTGCTTGTGGGCTCTGAAGGCGGACCCTGGTTCAAGGCCATTTGCGTGAGTTTGTGCAGGACACTGAGCCCCTCTGAGCCCCCCTTACTTTGTATGGAAATTGGGGGTGCTCTGAGTAGCCGCCTCCTGGCTGATGCAGTGGGGACACACTGTTCTACCCGGTTTGTGAGTGTTAACTCAGTGAATCCTCACAGCACCCCAGGTGTTATCATGAGCCCCATTTCACAGATGAGGACACTGAGGGAAAGTAGAGGTCAAGAAGCCACCTGAGGCCACACATCTGGGAAGAGGCGGAGCTAGGATTCGAACGCCAGCACCAGAGCCCAAACCCTTGGCACGCACGCTCTCGCCCTCAGCGAGCCACTGTGGAACATACATTCGGTGCTCAATAAGTGTCAGGTCTTGTTACTAGGAAGGCCCCACGCCTCTGGCTCACTCCATCCTGGGTTCCTGGGGCAGGAAATGCCTTTCTCCCCCCACAGGAAGTTTTTGTGCGGTCAGTTCTCCTGCTGCCCACAGTGAGCCCGGCTCATTCCCCCAGAGGAGGGGCCGCCCGGTCAGCTGCAGGCCACAGGCTCGTCCCCCGGCATGGGCAGAGGCCCCTCGGCATTGTCACAGGGGACAGGGGGCCGCCATTCACAGTGGACCTCAGGGATTCGGTTTCTTCTCTGGGTTTCCCACGTTGCAGCAACCCAATGGCATCCTGCATCCTGTGTCCTGGGCTGAGAGACGGAGACAGGAAATTGCACAACAGGCCCCGCTGGCCGCCCTCTGCCCAGGCGGCTTACCGGGGGTGCAGTTGTGGTCTGGCTTTCAGTTGTGGAGTCAGCTCCTGAGCTCTGCCCGTGAGAGACCACAGGGAGCGTGTGTGTGTGTGTGTGTGTGTGTGTGTGTGTGAACAGAGAACAGGGGTGCAGGCCTAGCCACGGCGGGAGAAAGCTGAACTGGATCCTATCAGGATAAAGCCTCAGTCGCTCAGGCATTCGCATCTTCAAGCTGACATGCACTGAGCAAGGGCGCTCAGACGGTGGCCTGCATTTGGGGGTCACAGCTGGGAGGGGAATGTGCAGGGAGGGTGGTTACGAGGAAAGTGGATTCCGAGTGGCCTTTAGTCACACAGTGGAAGCCCTCCAGCCTCTCAAAGGATACCAGGTTAAATTTAGAAGTCCCAGACTGGGACGAGACACAGACACCAGACTCGAGCCAGCTGTCGCAGGGTCCCCTCCAGGAGCTGGGCCTGGGAGAGCCAGCTGTCCGGGCTGGGTGGGGTCCACCTGCCCCAAGACATCTGAAGAAGCAGGCACATGGGGACCCCACACCCAGCCTGCCTTCCACCTCTGAAGTCACTTCTGGGTAGAGCCCAACCTCTGCTCTGGACTTGGACTCACTGTGGGCGAGACCTGAGGCTGGAGAGGAACCCCCATTTGGGTCCAGGAGGGAGACAATTTATTAGAAAGTGCAGAAAGGCGATGGCTGGGGGTGCTCTCAGGCCCCTGGGCATTTCTAACAGCTCCGGTGCCCCTCTCACCTCTGGTTTGATTTGTCTCTTGGTCACCTGGTGGCCCCACAGAAACTGTTTCCCACCTGGCTGGGGGCCGTGCGGGAGGAGGGCAAATGTCGCAGGTAGCAATGGGCCACTGTGCACACACGCCGTCCACAAAGGACCATCCCCATCATTAGCACACAACTAAATTCTGCAGACGCACAGCTGAAGAGTGAGCGCCGGGCGCTGCCGGGCCCTTTGCTGTCACCATTGATCACGTCGAGTGGTCCTTCCCCTTTCATAGATGAGGAAACTGACCCTCAGAAAGGGCCACGGGATGTGCTAAAGGTCACTCAGCTGGGAGGTGGCAGAGCTGGGCTGGTTTCAAACAGCCATCTTTTGACCCAGCTCTGTCGCTGCAATTTTGGCTACCCACCCCGGCCCTTCCACACCCCAATTCCACCAGACTGCCCTTAGCCCTTCTTTCGCTGAGGGCGGCACAGAAGGCCCCTAGCGTGACGTTGAATACGAGCCAGCAGCAGCCCCATTGGCTGGACGACGGAAATTATCAAAATGCAAGAAAACACGCATGAGCGATGAGCTCCGTCCCTGCGCCTGTGTCCAGAGAGGCAAACCCACACGACGCGCGTCGGTCCTGGCAGAAGGCAGCCCAGCTCCCGTCCGGGCAGGGCCCTCCCACTTGTCCCTGCAGACCGGAACTCAGAGACTGGATTAGTTCCTCCATTGGCCTGAGCCCGACTTAGGTTTAAGTGCTGCTGCCCCGGTTCATATTTTATGGTCCCTTTTTAAATGGGACAGATGCAGGGTGGCACGGCTGGGTGTTTACAGCAAGCGACATGCAGTTAGGAGCCCTGTGCTATTCTTGGCTGCCACTTGTCTTGCTGAGTGAGGTCGGGCCGGTCGCCTGACCTTGCATGCCTGGGTTTCCTAATCTGGGAGCCGACACATGTACGCGTCGCCCGCCCTCCCCCGTGTGGACCCAGCAAAGCGTAGCTGTTGTGCTCAGTGTTGCACGTGCCACGGGCCGCCTGAGAATGATCACACTGGATCAGGGTTTATGTTAGAGACCAGACTCTTCTCTCCATCAATATGGCTAAAGTCATCCACAACATCCAGACACCAGGACTCGGTGATTCAGGATTCTTAGCATCCTCGACAAATACAAGCTAAGTGACAGCCAGGCAGCCAGATGAGTGTATTTAAACTTTTTTCACAGTTTTATTGAGATATAGTTCATGTACCACACAATTCACCCACTTAAGGTGTGCAATCGATGGTTTTTAGTATATTCACAGAGTTGTGCAGCCATCACCCCAGTAAATTTGGGGATATTGGCATCATCTCAAAAAGAAACCCTGTCCCTGTTAGCTATCACCCCCCAACACCCCAGCCCTCAGCAGCCGCTAATCTATTTTCTGTCTCTGTAGATGTCTCTGTTTTGGACATTTCGTGTGAAGGGAATCACGTGTGGACTTTTGTGCCTGGCTGCTTTCACTCAGCACTGTTCCCAGGGGCACCGTGTTGTCAGGTGCATCAGCACTTCCTTTCTGACACACGTCCTTTGATCATCTCCCGTGCACAAGGCCCTCTGCCAGGTGTCGGAGACACCGCAGCTCGGAGCACACAG